AAGCACTCAGGGCACATATTACCTGCTCCAAGAATTTTCTGAAAGCCCAACTGCTGAAATGCCGTGCTGAAACCCAAAGACTGGTTTTACGTAGTAGCTGCTAAAATGATCTGCCATGACTCTAAGACTGGTTTTACTTACCAGTGTCACTCACCAATCAAAACTTCGCTTGTGCCAATGAGCTTTCTTTCAAAACAGTACCTAGCATTTCTCTCCCTGGTAAAACTCCCAACCCTTTCTTTGTTCTTTGAATGTTCCAGAGACCATCCCAGTCTATTTGTGCACCCTGACTTGCAATTCTGTTTTCCCAAATAAAATGTTTTCTTTAAAAATTCGTCTCTTTAAATGTATTTTTATAAACAACAAGACTTGTCTTTGACAAGAGCTTGTGAATTCTAAAAAGTTCTCTGTATTTCCTGTAATGTTGATTGCAGGAGGGATAGTCCACGGCTGTGAGGTTTGTTTGTTTTATAATTAACTTCTTTTATCAAGAATGATTAACAGAGCATTTGAAAAGAGTTTTGGCCTCTCTTCCCTATAATCAAAATAGAATTATTTGGAAAGGTTTGATTACTGCTTGTAAACGGAAGGAGTATTTGTCACTTCAAACCGTATAGTACTTCTACAGTTTGGTTTATACCTCTGAAGTGTCCTGTTCCTGTGGAGGAACTGTGGTGGCTGACAGCCTTGTTTCTAGAACCATGCCTGGGATCATGAAGAGAGGGCTTGTACACTTTTCTACTCTAAATCAGTTTGATTCTTGCTTCAGAGAACTTTTTATCTTCCCAGTTGTGAAATCTGCCCTCTTCTTCTATGTTTTTCTTTTTCTTTTTTTGGGCAGCTGGCCGGTACTCTGCCTTTTGAAGTGATCCTCTCTTCACCACAATTCCAAACATCATTTTGAAAGTTCAGTATCAGTGTAGGTCTTTTAACTCTAAAGAGCTTCATCCTTACTCCACCTCAGCCATCTACTCCCATAGATGCATCTTGGACCTTCTGACCATGCAGAATAGTTCTACTTTTGAAATCTCAGGCTCTACTATCCTATGATCAGGCCACAACTTCTTAAGTTTCCATATCTTTTATTCCTTAACTTCCACTCTGTCCGTTTTCTGACCCTATTAGATTCAGGTTCCTTGACTCCTTCTAGTTGTAAGGTGTGTGGCAAGTAATTTCATGTTCATTTATTCAGTGAATTTTTATTGAAGACCTGTCTGTCTTAGGCATATAGTCATAAACAAAACTGATGTGGACTCTGCCATTATGAAATTTAAAGTTTACTGAGTGGAGCAACAGACATTAACAAAGCATGAAACAAATATATGATTACAAATTATAAGTGCTATAAAAGAATGAACAGGGTGCCATAGAGGAAAATAATAACGAGGAAATCACTTTAGATTGGATGATAAAAGAAGGCCTTTCTAAAGTGATACTAAAATGGCAACCTAAAGTATTAGAAACCCCTTGCCTTGCAGAATGTTAGGAGAATAATGTTCGAGTTACAGGACCCTTTGAGACAGCGATGAGCTTGAGTTAGAAGAATTAAAAGAAGGCTAATGTAGTTGGAATTCATTGAGAGAGTGAGAGGCTAGCCTAAAATGAGGTTGTGAAGTTGAGCAGAGACCAGCTGAATCAGAGCCTTGTGAGTCATATTAAAGAGTCTGATTTTATTCTATGTGTTTTGGGAAATAGTTGAAGAGTTTTAAGCTGGGTAATGACATGGTCTGCTTTATGTATTAAAAAAGATCGTTCTGACTTCAGTATGCAGAACAGATAGGAAAGGGCTAAAAGAGAAGCAGGATGTGACTTGAGAGGGAAGGTATTCAGTGCTTGGAACCAGTGCTGGCTTGGGTTATGGTGGTGGCAGTGGAGCAAGGAGTTGGTAGATTTGAGAAATGTGTTTGAATTAGGAGTGCCAGGACTTGGAAGTGGAATGTGAAAGAGAGGGGTGTCAGGTATGACTCCTAGGTTTCCAGTGTGAGCAGACTGGTATGCCACCTCCTGAGGGTGGGTGTTTGTATATGTAAGAGAGACAATGTGTAAGAGAGAGTACATATGCGGATAAACAAATCTGGAATTCAGAAGAGTGGACTGGGATGGAGATACACATTTGGAGTTGTTGGCAAATAGGGATATTTAAAGCAAAGAGAATGAGAGAGAGAAAAAAGAAGAGGAATTTTGATGAATTACATTTTCTGATTGATTTTGTTTTAATTTTAGACATTAGAATAGATTTAAGGTTAGCCTTCTAAAGTCAGTCTCACTTGCTTTCAAATAAACTTTCTTATTGGGAGAGAAAGGAATGGAGTTACAGCTACCTGGGAGGATGGGGGGGGGGGG